GTAGGCAGTCTGGTAGAAGGTTTGGTTTACTGCTTTAGTACCTTATAACACACGCGAAGTAGGCAGTTTGGTAGAAGGTTTGATTTACTGCTTTAGTACCTTATAACACACGCGAAGTAGGCAGTTTGGTAGAAGGTTTGGTTTACTGTATTCATACCTGATAACACACGCGAAGTAGGCAGTTTGGTAGAAGGTTTGATTTACTGCTTTAGTACCTTATAACACATGCGAAGTAGGCAGTCTGGTAGAAGGTTTGGTTTACTGCCTTCATACCTGATAACACACGCGGAATTGTTGTTTGCGTTTTTTTCTTTTTTCCTTTAGAATACGACAATAATATTCGTAATATACTTAGTTTACATAACTTTATGTCAACTAAATACATATAACAACTCATGAAGAGATTGTTTGATACAGTTTTCTGACTTTAAAAGTTACTTTTCTTTTGCTTTATAATTTATCTGATCACAGTAAAGAAACAATACATAATGGACTCTGGAAGTAATTAGTGGGATTAATTACAAACTGATGCTTTTTCTGGGGTGGGGGCTCATATGTTAGACCCTGTATCTAACAAAGTCATTGACCTACACGTGTTTTAGTGTATAAATAATTTATAAAAAAAAAGTTTGAAAAGCAAATGAAGTCCTATCGATAATTAGGATTTAGCCGGATCTATGTGAGTATAAGCCACGAATATAGTGTGTAATAGCTTACAAATGACTTCCAGTTAAATGTAAACCAGATTTCTACCAATAATAAACTAATGCAGCCACAACGTGGTAAGATTTAAAAATACGATTAAACCTCAGTTGTTGTTTGCGTTTTTTCTTTTTCTTAGCATATGACAATAATATCTGTAATATACTTAGTTTACATAACTTTATGTCAACTAAATACATATAACAACTCATGAAGAGATTGTTTGATACAGTTTTCTGACTTTAAAAGTTACTTTTCTTTTGCTCTGTAATTTATCTGATCACAATATGTTAATTTTCCTCATAAATTATTGATTAAGAACACGTTATTATAATTATGTATATCGTCGTTTAGTTTAAATTCGGGTATTTTCCAGACAAATCGACGGCATCGCGCCGACATATGAAAAGAAGCCGTCCATCCGACAAGAAGATGAAGGCAGAAAGCTGTTGTTCGAATGTCGTATTCTTGCAGACCCTGCCCCTACTGTGTCCTGGTACCATGACGGTGCCCTTGTAAAGGATAAGGGCAGATTTAAGGTAATAGGATAACTTTTATTATACAAGCTGCTAATTTGTGTGTTGTCGTTTGTTAGATTTTCTCTTTAATTTTCGTGGTTAATTATATTAACGAAAAAAAGACAATGTGTTTTCTTAATACAGACTGTTGTATTTGAAGAGTTAGAAGGAAGGTTGTTAAGGGAATTGATAGTTTTGATGCATCATCCATTTTAGTAATTAATGGTGAGAACGGTAGTACTAGGGGACACATATACATTTTGGTATGTTGTTTGTTTAAAGTTAAGCACAAAGCTACACAATGAGCTATCTGTACTGTGCTCACCATGGGTATCGAAATCCGGTTTCTAGCGTTGTAAATCCGCATACATACCGCTATGCCACTGAGAGCGAATTTTGGTAGGATGAGAGTTATCTTCAGCTAAGACGGTTTTATCATTCTAGCAAGGTGATTGGCCTTTGAAATGAGTTGTTATCAGATGTGGCGGATGCAGTTAATTTTAATGGAGTTTAAGGAAAGACTTGATACATATTTGAATTATGAGGGCCGGCTTTGAGTTTTTTAATGTTTAATTTAATTTAGTGTATAGGACGGCGTAGAAGGGCCAACAGATCACTTATTGTCCTTAAATTATATGTACATAGATTTAAAAACATCTGCATTTTTCATAAAGCATAAAACACATCAATATTTGTAAATATGTTTCGGATCTACAAAATATCACCATTTTGAAAATGCGAAGAAAAACTCCTCCAGTGGTTCTTGGCTCGAATTAATATTCAAGAGGACGTGATGGAAGTAACTTTTCACGCCTTTTCCATGTTTCCTTAAATAAATTTGTGCAGCTGGCAGTGTAGGATACCATTACAACATTTTTTCATCTTTGACAGTCACTGTTTTTCTGTGTATTTAAGCTGGTTGAGTTTGGAGGTAGCACTTTTCTGCTGTCTTCTTTCAGTTGCAGTATCTGTGAATATAAACAAACAAAAGATATAATACGAATTATGAAAACCAATATTACTTAAAATCTTGTGTTTTTGTGATTGAATCAGTAAGTCGTCGAAATATGAGTAATTATGTTTGTAGGTAATGAGTTACAGATCAGCTGAAATTGAACTCTTTATTTTTAGAGTGTAATCTGTAAATAAAATTTCAGAAATGAGACTTAATACTGAATAATACGTGATTGAATAACTTTATTGTGATCAATGGAATTTGTAATTTAACAAATTTTTAAAAATATTGCAAATTTAGAGAGTTTTTTTATGAAGATGATGATTGAAAAATTCTCTGTAGTTTACAAGCTTTAACTAAACACTATCACAGATCAAGAACTGCTAAATTAAATTGTATGTCGCATTTCCAGACATTGTCAATTTTATATTTTGTTTTATTGTTTTAAGAGGGATATAAACTATATATGAAACAGATAATGATTAAGCAATACAACCTTAACCTTTAAAATTATTAATAAACGTAGCATACTTACTAAACTTTGACAGATATATAACTTATAATTAGATAACACAATTTCGTAATTAGCACAGTGGAGAGACAACAACATCAGAGGGGTATGGTTCATTTCAAATTATTTTATATAACATGGGAGGGGTATGGTTCGTTTAAAAGTATTGTATACAACATCGGAGGGGTGCAGTTCGTTTAAAAGTGTTGTACACAGAAGCTTAACTGAGAAACAGTTGATACTTTCGGCACTATTTTCAAGTTCCCAAAATTTGAAATGAACTGGGAACTAAGATTAACCTTAGATCGCTTGTTAAAAGGGCAACTTTGCCCATGATAATTACTTCAAGTATTGCAATACCAAAACCCGGGGTTCGATTTTTCGCAGTGGACTGAGTGCAGATAGTCCACTGTGTAGCTTTGCGCTAAAAGAAAACAACACCAATATTCCATGTACTAATTCACTTGATTAAAGCCGTCATTATGACTAACTTAGGCTTAGAGTTAGAACAACCAAAAGTCTTAAGCTTAGGCCTACTATTTTGAAAAGTTAAAACTTGTGTAATTGAGTACAATCCTTTATAAACCATAATAACTTCGTAGTGTTATCACTTATGGCTTATTTTGAGAAAGAATTGTTTAAGAAAGAATGTAATACTAGTAGTAGTATTGTAGATTTGTTAGAAATGTAAGTGGCCTAACAATGTTTAGGCTAAAAATAGTATAATGTGTTTATATTTCTAACTATTTAAAACTATAATATAAGTTAAATTGCAAACATTTGTCACTGAGGTAAAGCCAATAATAATTTATTTGGTAAAAAATTTGTAGTTGTAATTTGTTTTGATTTTAATTGCAGATCAAACTTGTGAAAGAAAAGAATTCATATTATTCAGCATTAGAAATAGATTATGTAACAGTAGAGGATGCAGGGAATTATAAAGTTACAGCCAAAAATGAACTTGGTGAAAGCAATGCGACAATCAGTCTTAACTTTGGTAGTAAGTGCTATTTTGATTCTGTCTTTCTTTATAAATTGTTGTACATTAAACCTCTTCATTAAGATCAAATAAAAACAAACAGAAGTCAAAAGGTTATTGAGACCTTTCAGACTTGATAAAGTTTTTCTTTTCCAAATTGGTTAGTTTATCAATGTTACTTACAATGAACATAAAAAATGTAAAAAATTTGTCTTAGGATAAAATCCTAATAACATAAGGAATCTATATATTGATTTAAAAAAAAATACTGTTTAAGGTTATGTATAATGAAGGATTGAAAGTTGATTTATACTATTTTTACTAATTTGATAACAAAGGATGATGATATACTCATTATTTCACTTTTACATCAACATACATCAGTCATCATCATTACAGTAACCTTTTACAGTTCATGACGTATTTAGAATTTTATGATGCTGTATTATTTATTTAGGTGATGAACCTCCCCCTCCTGAAGGTGCAAGACCCATGTTCACAGAAAAGCCTGTCATTAGTCAGTGTAGTGACCTTAGTAAAATTATATTTGAATGTCAACTTGTAGCTGATCCTTCTCCAACGATCAAATGGTAAAAATTAGGATCATTGCAGCTTACAGACAGTTTTTTCTCTGTGCTTCAAATTTTTCAATGTTTTTTATAAATAATTTTAAAGCATACAAGTTTTTAGCACAAAAACCAACAGTAACAAGTGTTTTAAATCCAACTTTTGCACAGATTGGAAGGACTAACCAAAATCCATCTCATACATGAACTTCTGCAATAAAACCTATTGGTACAAATAACACTTGATAGTGAGTTGTTTGAGAGATTAGTAAGTCTTATTAAAGACACGTAACTTGTGTATAAATAAAAACCTCTATGTGGGTTTTTCTGTAGTTTACATTAGCACATGTAACATTGAAGTATTCATTATTTATTACCTTATAAGCTCACAATACCAAACAAGGACTCCTATAGTCAGCTTATTTTAGTAACTTCTTCAAAATAAGAAATAAAGGAACCTAAAGAGATCCTTGCATAATTGCAAAATGGACCATAGGTAATGTATTCTACATTCTATGATAAGAAGAATCTAAAACAAGTTATTAAGCTTTGGATAAAGTAATCCCTGCTAAATTGCTTAAATTGAAAACCTTATCACAATAAAATATTTTTCTTTTATAATCTTCCAATTGAGCAGGATCATTGTGATGCTCAACAAGTCTTTTATTACTAGTTTTTCAAGTCATTCAGTTATTTTCTTAAAATTTAAAAGGCTGTACAGTTTTTAGTATTTCCATAGATAACATCTTTTTCTAATAAATCTTGTGTTGTCTGAAGAGTTTAAAACTAAATAATTGAAAAAAATCTACATTGAAGGAATGTGCATAATGGTAAAGGAGCATTGCAAGTTAGTTTTCATTTTGCTTTAATTGAAGAATATTTCTTCATCTTATTTTTGTGTATCACAGGATGTCATATTTTACCATAATATTCTTATACGCTCAACAGCTTATGTACTTTCCATTACTAGGATGAACTAGGACTCTTTTAGAAGGGAACAGTATTTGGGAGCTAAATGCTTTAAGTGGTCACTAAGTTCCAGTTGTGAAAATGTTGTTTTTGGTGTCACTGAGACATTACTGAATTTTGTATAATAGATAAATTCTGTTGGTTTAGTTTACAATAGACTGTTTAAAATAATTTTTAGTTCTGTTAGATGTTTCTAAGTATGCTTAAACATTTCAGAGTATTTGTACCCATTTTGTTTTACTGTTTGCTTGAAATATGTTTTTTTTTCATACAAATGGCTCACCATAAATAGTATTCTGTTTGATATGAGAAGATTTCAATTTGTATAGGGAATATATTTTTTTTTGTTGGTTGTTCTTATTTGGACATTGCACAAAAGATTATTTTCTGAGGACAGTAACACCATGAAAGTTTTATCAGATGTTTAAATATAGAATGTGTTTTTTTTATGCATCAAATGTTTAAACTTGGAATGTGTTTCTTTTAATGTATCAGATGTTCAAATACAAAATGTGTTTGTTTAATGTATCAGATGCTCAAATACAGATTGTGTTTGTTTTAATGTATCAGATGTTCAAATACAGCTTTGTGTTTGTTTTAATGTATCAGATGTTCAAATACAGCTTTGAGTTTGTTTTATTGTTTCAAATATTCAAATACAGAATGTGTTTGTTTTAATGTATCAGCTGTTCAAATTTGGAATGTGTTTGTTTTAATGTATTAGATGTTCAAATACAGGATGTGTTTGTTTTAATGTATCGGCTGTTTAAGATAGAACGTGTTTGTTTTAATGTATTAGTCTGTTCAAATTTGGAATGTGTTTGTTTTAATGTATTAGATGTTCAAATACAGGATGTGTTTGTTTTATTGTATCAGATGTTCAAATACAGGATGTGTTTGTTTTAATGTATCAGTCTGTTCAAATACAGAATCATTTGCCGAATTTTATTTTTTACCATACTTTTCTATAAGAACTTGATTTTGACACCACTCACGAAAACATTGACGACTTTTGAAATTATCATACACACATGGCAGTGTTTTTTGTTGATTGATAAATTATTTAAGGATAAAGTTATCTAGCTAGATCATTAGCTTTAGAGCAGCTGTTAGGGATTTTAGACTGGATCATCAGAATATGTAATGTCTCATAGCGTATTTACTTTGTAAGAATAACATTAGTTCTGCTCTTGTATGCTGGTTGTACTATAATACTGTTTTAAGTTTATTACAGCTTCAAAGCTTGGTTAATTAGTAATTAATTGTAATTAGTAGTGGTTGTCCATTTACTGAAAGTGTCCAGAAAAACTTAAGATATTTGCCATGTAACTGCTGAGGAAGAAAGGTCTACTTTCCGAAAGCACTTAGGTTATCAAGGTTTTTAAACAATTTGACAGTTACTTCACATTTAAGTTATCTTAAAATAGTTGGATTGCTATAAAAACTGCACTTTTCTTCTTTCTCAACAAAGGTACCATAATGGTAAGGCCATTAAAGATGGAGGGAGGTTCAAATATGTCCTGACTTCTGACAAGTACAATCATTCTGTGGCTTTGGAAATTGCCAAGATTGCTGCTAAAGATGGTGGAGAGTACAAAGTAATAGCCAAGAACAAACATGGAGAAGGTTATGCTACAATCAGTTTAAATATTGAAGGTACTTTATAACATTTTTTTAAAAATCAAAGACTAGTTTAAAATTTATTTTTATAAAAACTCCTATATTAGCTTTTCTTGCACATTAATTTATTTTCCAATAATGGTGCTAATTGGATATTTTATTTTAAAATAGGCTTATATTGAACAGTTTCTATTCTTTTTGTTCAATCTTATCTTAATTTGTAATTGTAAAAGAAATCCAAATAATCCTGACTTGTACTTTTATATAAATAGAATTACTGATTCAGATGATATAAATTTAACAGTGTCTGTTGGGTTTCTTTCATGAAATGCTTATGAACACAGTTGATTTAAAAGATTGAATAATACAGACAGATTGGCTTTAAAGGAATTTGATTTTATAGGTTGGAAATTGTACTGCATTGTTGTATTTGTTATTAGAATAAGTAAAGTTTCATGTAAAAGTATGCTTTGAACGTTTGTTTCTGTTATACAGTTATGGTGTACAATCCAACAAAGCTGTATAGAAATTAAAGCTACAAATATTACAATACACATGTTGTACAGGTTGTTGGAATTTGTTTTTCTTAATTCATTAAGCTAGTACTTGTTGGTATTATAATAGTTTTTGTTAAGAAATTTATAAAGTTTTCATATTTGAATATTATTTGCTATAAACAGATTTGTAATTCTCTAAGAAAAAAAGTGTAAAGTTACAGATTTTACAGTAATTTGGATCATAATGTAAGGAATTGATGAAGTTATTTAACATTGTTATATTTTTCAAATATTTCAGGTGATGGCAAACCGAAGTAAGTACAGAACACTTCTTGTTTTTTGTAGAAAACCTTTTTAGAATAGATAGAACTGTTGAAAATGAATTGAGTAAACATGGGATAGAATCTTTGTTGTAAATAAAGAAAACTTGACAATAAAATAAACTATTATGTTCTCTAACTTTTTAATAAAACCATTGAAAAAAACATTATTCCTAATGGAAATGATCCAGTTTCCAAAGAAAAAGTATATATGGAATGATGAAGGACAATAAATAATTTGATGTGTGTTAAATAGAATATGCTTATTTTATAAATTAAGAAATAAACTACATTGTGATGTAAATTTGGTTTGGGACTTCCCAGAATTCCTCTTGGGAAAGCCCCAAGATTTCCCCAGAAGCCCACGATCAGACAAGTTGGAGATAACCTGATTCTTGAGTGTGTGCTAGAAGCCAACCCGTTTCCTGAAATCACATGGTATCATGGCACAAGACAGATCTCTGAAGGGGAGAGACACAAGTGTATAAAGAGTGACATAGCAAAAGATACCTATGGTCTTTCACTTGAAATTAGGGTACGTGCTTAGATCAAATACCAGTTAGACATGTATCTGTTTATAGTGAACAAGGAGTGTGTTGATTACCAATTAGACTTGTATCTGTTTACAGTGAACCAGTAATGTGTTGATTACCAGTTAGACATGTATCTGTTTATAGAGAAGCAGTAGTGTATCCATAACCAGTTAGATTTGTATCTGCTTATAGTGAACCAGGAGTGTGTTCATTACCAGTTATACTTGTATCTGTTTATAGTGAATCAGGAGTGTGTTCATTACCAGTTAGATCTGTATCTGCTTATAGTGAACCAGTATTGTGTTCGTTACCAGTTAGATTTATATCTGTTTATAGTTAACCAGGTGTGTGTTCATTACCAGTTAGATTTGTATCTGCTTATAGTGAACCATGAGTGTGTTCATTACCAGTTAAACTTGTATCTATTTACAGTGATACAGGAGTGTATCCATAACCAGTTAGATTTGTATCTGCTTATAGTGAACCAGGAGTGTGTTCATTACCAGTTATACTTGTATCTGTTTATAGTGAATCAGGAGTGTGTTCATTACCAGTTAGATCTGTATCTTTTTTTACAGTGATATAGGATCATATCCATTACCAGTTAGAGTTGTATCTGTTTATAGTGAACCAGTAGTGTGTTTGTTACCAGTTAGATTTATATCTGTTTATAGTAAACCAGGTGTGTGTTCATTACCAGTTAGACTTGTAACTGTATATAGTGAACCTATTATGTGTTCATTACCAGTTAAACTTGTATCTGTTTACAGTGAACCATTTGTGTGATGGTTATCAGTAAGGCGGCATGTATCTGTTTAGAATGAAACAGGAATGTGTTCACTTCCAGTTAGACATGTATATGTTTCAGTGAACTAGGAGAATGCTCATTACCAGTTATACATATATCCGTTAACAGTGAAACAGGAGTGTGTTCATTACCAGTTAGGCATTTATCTGTTTATAGTGAACCAGTAGCGTGTTCATTACCAGTTAGACTTGTATGTGTTTATAATGAACCAGTAGTGTGTTCATTACGAGTTAGACTTGTATCTGTTTATAGTAAACCAGGAGTGTGTTCATTTCTAGTTAGACTTGTATCTGTTTACAATGAAACATGATATCTTTAAAGAGCTTGAAACAAATGATGTATGTTACCAACTTTAGGTAATCAAACATTCTTAGAAGCTTTTAATGCATTATCATAAATCTTTATCTAAAGTTATTGTTTTATCCCTGTATCAGGGCCCTACAACGGAAGATGCTGGTAATTATCGATGTAATGCTGTTAATGAACTTGGCGAGAGTAATGCAAACATTGCCCTGAACTTCCAAGGTGAGAAATAAGAGCGAGAAAGACTAATTATACCAATACTTTTATAAAGTGTATGAAAAACAGGCAAGCTGAAACTCTGTATATATATATATACCCATATGAAACTTTAAACTGGCTGGATTTCAGTACATTTCTTGTAACTTGTGTACAGATTCTTTGTTTGATGTTATTGTTACATGTTTTACTGTGTGAAATAATTGAAAGTAATATCTAATGTCTCAAGAGTAAAAAAATATTGGTGAAAATATCCTAATTATTTTCAAAATGTGTTTCTTTTACTGATAGAAATATTATGTCTTTACAAAGATGTTAATGTGGTTTAAACATTACTTAACTTTTACTGAGATTAAAGTTTGAGATATATTTAAAAACTGAGATCAGTAGTTGTATTTCAAGATGCATGAATAGTTGTACTAAAGGAAAAATATGTAGATCTTATTGTATGTGTTGTGGAAAGAATGTTCATAACTTTCCAATCTTTCAGGTGTGTAGGCGTAAGCTTTGTTCAGAACAGAGAAAAAGTGTTGTTACTTTTTATGATTTTCAACTCAGCATTCTAACATGTATTGTTTGTTATTTCTTGTTAGATCATGTGGCTAAGAATGTACTTTATTTTTTGCATACTTGCTAGGTGGAGAGAAAAGGGAAGGGCCAGTCTTTATTGAGAAACCTCAAGTCATTCCAAAAGATGGTGGAAAGCTTGTTGTTATGCAGTGTCGGGTGAAGAGTATTCCTCCTCCTAAAACCCTTTGGTATCATGAAACAAAACTTGTTAAAGAGACCAATCGTGTCACAAGTCAAATAGTGAAGGAAACAAATGAGGAATTCACAATTTTTCTGGAAATCAGGGTTAGCTTGACAGTCAATGAATTATGATTTGTTAAATTTTCTGTGAATTGATTTAAGTATGATAGTCAGAAAAATTGTATTCTAGTGTTCATTTGAAAACGAGTTTTAAAAGACTTAGTTAAGTTAATTCTAGAAAAACTAATTTTTAGTGATGAGAGATTTTTAATTTTGATTTAAGTAGTCCTGTGGTACGGAAGAGTCATACCTTACTGGAGAAAATCTTTAAAGCAAGGGCAGAAGAGTCACATACCTTACTGGAGAACCCTGTGCATCGAGTCAGATTATTTAATTTAAATACTTGTAGTACAGAAGAGTCACATACCTTACTGGAGAACCCTATGCATCGAGTCAGATTATTTAATCAAAATTCTCATGTGGTACTGAAGAGTCATGTACCTTACTGGAGAATTTATGCATAGTGTAGAAGGGTCATACTTATTACTCAAATTCTTTACAAACTGAGGTATTCTTGTATGGAAGCTTTGGAACGATTTAAACTTGTAGTTGTAAAACTTAGATTGGTGCAAGATGTTTTTCTGATTGTTACAAGTTTATTATTTTATACTTTAAACAAAGAGTTCATTCAGTGCAAAAATGTTTCATAAAGTTTGATATAATGATCTACCCTTTTAATTCCAGGACCCATCTTCAGAAGATGGAGGAAGCTACAACTGTAACATAAAGAATGAAAATGGTGAAATCAATGCTAATCTTAATTTTAATGTTGAAGGTATGTTTTTACTGCACCTGTGTACCCTTAATTTCAATTAAATGTAACTTGTAAGGCAGGATATGTTTTAGTAAAAGTTAACAACATATAACTTGTTTTTAATATTGAACATCCATAGGACAAACTGGAGAATTGGTGTTAAAAATAATTTTAAGTTATATAAAACAGATAAACCACAGAACAAGAATTCTGATAACTGAAGCACTTTTCCAAGTCTGTTTATTTTGGACATTCTATCAAGTTTACCCATGACTTATATTTGATATTACTCATAAACCAAAACAAAATTCTAATTGTTCTAAACAATTATTTAAGTTAAGTTTGTTTTATAAAAGAAGCTTTAGTTTTCCTATTCAAGGGAAACTTTTACGTTTGTGACAAGCTTAATTTGTTCACATTACATGAAAATAATGATATAATAATCTTACTTAAATAATATATCATCATTAACAAATATTAATCAAGATTTTTGATTGAAATTAACTCGTATTAATCAAGATGTGATATAGATATTAACCAATATTAATTCAAATGCTATATCAATATTGATATCTATTAACCAATATTTATCCAGCTATATAAATATTAACTCATGTTAATCAAGATATGTCAATATTAACTAGTATTAATCAAGATATTATGTTAAGATTAACCAGCATTAATCCACATATTGTATCAATATTCACTGATATTAATCAGCATTAATCAAAATATTATATCGACATTAACTAGCATTAATCAAGATATTATATTAATTTTAACCAATATTAGTGAAGACATTATGCCAATATTAACCTTATCACTACAGATAGATCAAAATGCTCATGTCGAAACCTTTTAAAGAGTTACATTCAAAATTGAATTAAACTACTTTATTACCAGTATATATGAATAAACTTGGCATTAAAACATAGTTAATAAATTAAATTTTAATATTTTACAAGTTTTAAGTTCTTAATTATATAATAAAATACTTATTGAATCTCCCTGGTGTGAGAATGGTGTCATTTGTTCTCTAGGTTTGAGATCGTGTCTAATTTATTTTCAATCCTTCTCTGAAGTACAGAATTTAATGTAAATTACTCATTATAAATAGTATTAAGGCAAAGTCGAATTTTTATAGCCTTCAATCTTACTTGTTTACAGAGCCATAAACTAGAAAATCAGACTCACTTGCCATGCCAATAATTCTTTCTGATATTTTATGCTATATCATTTATAATGAATAGAAAGGCTAAGTTTTAATCTATTGAATGACATGTAATTTTGTTTTGTTTTCAGTATAGAGTATTATCATATTTGTCTTCCGTTTGAAAGTTTATCTTGTGGTGTTCAGATCGAGCAGCAAAGGGAATTAATTCAAGCCCCTTTAGTCTTGGTTAGAAAGCCAGTTAAATTATAATAGATAAAGGACATTGTTTGCTTTGTGTGTGTTAGTATTCTGTGTTCTTAAGTTCATTATTTAAGTAAATAAAAATTATTTAGTGTATTGGTACCATCATTATAAAAAAGTAGGCTTAAATTTCATTGACAACCAAAAGCAAAAAAACAAGAGGTCAGAGGTAAGTACTATATTTATTGTTTTTCAGGTATATTCTTTATTTATTATTATAAAAGTACCTAAAATGTAAATATTAGAAACTTGTTAGGTTAGATAGATTAGGTAAGATAATGAAAAACAACAACAAAAAAATTCTTCATGAGGTATGCCCACGAGCAGCTCTTGCATTACATCATTTAGTATAGTAATGTGAGCTGCGCATTCGATGAGTGATTTGCAACTTGTATGGTTGGGTTATTAGAAAAAAAAATGGGGAATTTTGATATATTTTGTATTTTTTTATGGTGGTTACAAGATTGGTCAAATTGACCAAGACCATGTAGAGTTAGGGTAGAGAAGATAACAGATGAAATATAAAGTTTTCTTGGAAAAAAACAACAAACGTTTGTTATTTATTTAGGAGGTTTTAGAGTTTACACGAATGAAATTTGAAAATTTTCATATAGAAAAGTATTTTTAATCTTAACATGAAAATCACTTTGTATTTGGAGCAATCAAAACTCTGATTCTGTATATTCAGGGACAAATCTTTAGTTTAAATACTTAATAAAAAAATCTGATTTTTAATATTTAAAAGAATTGTAAGATTTACTGAAATCTTCCAAATTTTGTGAATATACATGAAACATATTAAAATTATAATATAGAAACCCTGATGGTCACTTTATTTTGCAACACCATTTTTGTGGGATTGTTTTATGGTTAACTAACATTCTAAAATCTTTTATGACACTAAGAGATTGGTTTGAATTATATATGTATATTTTATCTATCTTTTTATTTTTACTTCTAACGTATAAGTTATTTTATGATATATTGAGACTGGTTTAAAACATATGTATACTTTATATTTTATGACACAAATACATTTATATTTTATCTGTCTATCTCTTTACTTTTACTTCTGAGATATAAATTATTTTAGGAATATTGAGACTGGTTTAAAATATATGTATACTTTATCTGTCTTTCTATATTTGCTTATATATACATATATTTTCTGATTCCATATATTTTGTGATATACTTTTTTTCAGAACTTGAAAAGAAAAAGTCTGAGACAAAGGAAGAAAAAGAGGTCTGTGTTTACATTAAATTTAATTTGAGTATTTTGGTTTCAGAAAGTTTATATAGTAACAAAAGAAATTTGACAGAGAAATATACAATACTGTTATTATTCAACATTTCTTAAAATAGTAGCAAAAGATGTGGCTTTAATCTATTATTATTTGAAATTTCTTTAAGGACTAGAAAAAGGAGATCTGGCTTTAATCTACTATTACTGTTTAAAATATTTTTAAACACTTTTCAATAGGCCCGGCATGGCCAGGTGGTTAGGGTGCTCGACTCACAATCTGAGGGTCATAGGTTCAAATCCCTGTCACACCAAACGTGCTTGCCCTTTCAGCCATGGCAGCATTATAATATGACGATCAATTCCACTATTCGTTGGTAAAAGAGTAGCCCAAGAGTTGGCAGTGGGTGGTGATGACTAGCTGTCTTCCCTCTATTCTTACTCTGCTAAATTAGGGATGGCTAGTGCAGATAGCCCTTGTGTAGCTTTGCGCGAAATTCGAAACAGAACAAACACTTTTTCGGTTATTTGTTACAGATTAAAGCAGTGATGGGGAATGGCATAAAACTATTTGATGTTTGAGGGTAACTTTGGTTGACAAGGATGTGATAAACAGATTAATCAAATATTACAATACAAGAATTTATTTTCGTTTTAGTGTATTTTTTGAAAGCTATTTCCAGCCACCTTTGCTATTTCTGCTTTCTCTTCTCTTTCTATCACATTTTCAATTTGTGTTTATATTCTTAACTGAATTCTTAGTGAAAATGTGTGAACAGATTAATTTAATGCAAAATTGAATTTATATGGTATGTTCTTTTGTTTTACCTAACTGTCTTAAATTTGAAACAAAAATATGAACTTTTTTTAAATATAAAAATAACAGATTAAACCTATCAATGGTGTACAAAATTGCTTTTCTTCATCTTAATCATACACTAATATGTTAACCCTACACATTTCTTCCATTTTTTTTCAGTTGTTTAATTCAGCTTAATGAAGCAGTTAGTTTTCATATGGACTGCTTAGTATATAATCACTTCTTTCTATATCGAATTATCTTTTCTTTTCATGGACTTTTGGGCTGTTTTACACATTATTTTAGCCTGAGCCTGAAGCTAAAAAACTCAAACTTAAAGAGAAGAAAGAAAAGAAAGTAAAAGAAATAAAAGAAGAAGAACAAGTAGTTGAAAAAGAGTTTACAACTGAACAAAAACGCAAAGATTCAGTGGAATTGGGTAGTCTTGATGAAAGTAGAAGAGGATCATCTATTTCTGATGAGGTATACAGTTCTAGAAAAAAAAACTACCTCTTTATACATGAAAAACACTTGTATACTTGGTAGTGTTAACTTTACTAGTTTCAATACTGATGGTAATGGAGGAAAATCTTCAATATTTTCTGATAAAATGTACACAATAATATCTTGGTATTTGTATCTAATGAGTAATTTTACATAGTTTAACTCAATTTTACATAATTTTCTTCATTGATTAAGATTAGAGGAGAAAAATCATGCTTATGTTTAAAAATGTAAATATTTCTTATTAGATTCAGAGGTAAATACATTGTTCTAACTTATTTACATCTATATAATAAATGAAATACAAAAAAAATTTAATTTTCTCATTTTTCAGAAAGGATTATTGGATGAATCTGGCAAAATAAAAAAACTCCGTCCTAGCGAAATAGTGGAATCAAAACAAAAACGAAAATCTAGTGTTGATCAACGAAAACAAAGGTACTATAGAAAGAAATACAAAGTAAAAGTGCAACATTGAACTGCAAGTGGACATTGTTCTTTGTTTTACAAGTGCTTATACATTACTTTAAAGATGCAGAAGTTTTTTTGCTGTATAAATGATTTGAGTAGTGTTAGATTTTCACCTATACTAAAGAGATAAAGGCTCACTTCCATGCGGTTCAGTTTATTTGAAATGTGGACAGCAAAAGTTAGACTTTAATATTGTTAATTTTAGGTTTTGTTCTCACTTGATTTGTGTTCTAGTACAGAGATGAAGCAGTATTTACCTTCTTTTCTTCAAAAATTGTAGATCTGTTCTCAAATTTGAATTGTATAGGGACAGGAAATTTATAGTTTTTATTTTTTTCATTTCTTCAGGTCAGCTGTCCTTATGTCATGATTACATCACTTGTAATATAGTTGTTAATGTCTTTAGGCCAGCTGCCTTTATGTCATGATTACATCACTTGTAATATAGTTGTTAATGTCTTCAGGTCAGCTGTCCTTTATGTCATGATTACATCACTTGTAATATTGTTGTTCATTTCTTCAGGTCAGCTGTCCTTATGTCATGATTACATCACTTGTAATATAGTTGTTAATGTCTTTAGGCCAGCTGTCCTTATGTCATGATTACATCACTTGTAATATAGTTGTTAATGTCTTTAGGCCAGCTGTCCTTTATGTCATGATTACATCACTTGTAATATAGTTGTTAATGTCTTTAGGCCAGCTGCCTTTATGTCATGATTACATCACTTGTAATATAGTTGTTAATGTCTTTAGGCCAGCTGTCTTTATGTAATGACTACATCACTTGTAATATTGTTGTTCATTTCTTCAGGCCAGCTATCCTTAAGTCATGATTACATCACTTGTAATATAGTTGTTAATGTCTTTAGGCCAGCTGTCTTTATGTAATGATTACATCACTTGTAATATAGTTGTTAATGTCTTTAGGCC